TAATAATATATTTCATATATTACCAGTCTGGATCAGTTCTTTTGTTAAATCAGGCCATTCAGATCTTAGAGTATCAGCACCAGTTAATGTACCATCACCACCACAAACAATCAAGGCATCAATTCCATTTTTAATTAAATTATATGCAGCTCGTAGTCTACCTTTATGCTCACGAAATGATTGACAACGAGCAGTTCTAATAAGTGTACCACCCTATAAATATGATATATTATGATATAATTATGTCATAAAAATGATTTTTTGAACACATAAACGATTAAAACAATTAAAACGATTAAATAAAAAAATTAAATAATGGAAAATATAGATTTAACATACTATAGAAAGATATCCTCTAACATCACCCCAATTAAATTGTTTTATCATGTCACCACCTTGTACTAGTCCTATGCAATTTCAAACCTTTTATTATTTATAAACATTCATATATTTCGGCATTTTCGAGATTTAAAAAATAAAAATAAAAATAAATACCTTCATAACCCTCAAAGATCGCGTATGCTTCGCAGCCGCGTGAAATAGCAACTCTTACAATTGATCTTACTGCAGCATTCATACCTGAAGAATCACCACCACTTGTCAATATACCTATTCTCTTCTTCGTAAACTTTGGTTTGGGCAGATCCATTTTTAATAATTACTAAAAAATTATTTCTTTTGTGGGTATATAGACGAGCCAGTATGCTAGTAACGATAAAATTTAAAAAAACGGCCGGATCTAATTTAAAATTTTATATATGAAAGTAGGTAATTAACTATCCAAGAAGAAAAAAAGACAAATATCCTCGAATAAAACTTGGCTTTTATCTAAACGACATTCAATACATATTTATATATATTGATATTTAAATTCATTTAAGATCTACTTTTCAAATGTCAAATTCTCATGCTATATCAACCTGATCAGATATACTTTTCTCGATTCAGATCTGATTTTACATTTTAGGATTTAGTACGTAAAAATTTACTATCTTTAATATTAGTCACGCCAGCGGTACATAGCGTTATCGTCAGAGATGAGATCTAAGGTGCATGTCGATATCATATATACAAAATATATACGTATTCAGTGTTTCAATGCTGACAATGACAAAAGTGTTACGTACACATTAACACTGTAACACAAAATTTTATTATGGCAATTTGATTTAATTCATTAAATAAATTTTAAACTTTATGAAAAACGTACGTAAACATGCATTTACTAATTTTACCCCAGGTTTCACGATTCTGGCCAATCAGAGGACAGGATCAGGTGTAACGTGAAAATTAAAAACAATCACTTGATTTTTGAAAAATCACATTAATCTCAAAATTTCGCCTAAGAAACCATCTTTTGTGCACTAATAAAAAAACTTCCTTGCAAAATTTTAGCATAAGAACATCTCCTAACTTTATCGCTAACCCTAGCCAAGGCGTCATATTTTAAAAAGAAGATAACATGTAAACAAATCTAACCAATCAGAAACCTGGGGGTAAATTAGTAAAAACGTGTCGGCGTACATCTATTTACCCAGAAAGATGTTAGATGAAGATCCATGCTCGACCAATCAAAATTCATCACGGGTTAATACATGTAAACAATTTTTTTGCATATTCTTAAGATTTTGTGCGAAGTTTTCTCTTTGTCGAGAAAACCACACTCAAAATTTAGAAGAATCTGTCTCGTCTATTAGTAAATTTAAGTACTTTTGAATTTTTTTAAAACTTGAGTAAAGTTTTCTCGATAATTCCTTGCTAAATTCGATGAAAATTTTTTTATTTTGATTTTACATATTCGTAGAATTAAATGAAAGAAATTTATCGAATTTGGTCAGGTGATTATTGAAAAACCTTCGCTCAAAGCTTAGAAAGAATCTGTCCCATCTTAGTAAATTGTGGTTCTGAATTTTTTAAAACTTTAAGCGAAGTTTTCTCAATAATCACCTGACCAAATTCGATAAATTTCTTTCATTTAATTTTATGAATATGTTAAATTAAAATAAAAAAAAAAAAATTTCATCGAATTTGGCAAGATAGTTATTGAGAAAATTTCGATCAAAGTACTTAAATTTACTAATAGATGGAACAGATTCTTCTAAACTTTAAGTGATGTTTTCTCAACAAACATATGACCAAATTCGGCAAACTTTTTTTTATTTTAATTCTACGAATGTGTAGAATTAAAAAAAAAAAATTTATTAAATTTGATCAGGTAATTATCGAGAAAACTTCACACAAAATCTTAAGAATATGCAAAAAAATTGTTTACATGTAGTGTTCCTATGAACTGAACTGAACTAAATTTTTGACCAAGTTCAAGTTCAGTTCAAAATTGAACTAAACTTGAATTTTTTTTAAAAAAAGTTTAGTTCAGATTCAATATTGAACTTTTAAGTCAAGTTCAGGTTCAGTTCAGGTTTAGTTCAAAAGTTCATGAACATGTTCAAGTTCAATG